GTATATCTCTTGGATTCTTTCGCCCTTGGGTATTGATGGGCTCATAAACAAAGTCGCGCGCTGATGATGACCGCTTTAATAAACGTTCTGTTTAAAGATTTGAAGATTCAGCGCTTCATTTCCTTCGCGTTGCCTCAGCGTCTTTCGGCAGGGTATATTTCTACCAGTAACCTAAAATGGGGGGTATCGGGAAGGGTTGGGCTGGAGCGACTGAACAGGGAATTCGTTGGGCACTTACTCTGAGTACATATTGGACACGAGTGCTGTGTCATCGTTCGGTTTGGTCTCGAATCCAATCACACGCTTCGGGCCCCCCAAAAATGGCGACCGCCAGCCGCTGTTGTTGGTGGATATATGATAAAAGGTATATTGGCGATCGTTACGATTCGAAAATGCTACTTCCTTACCTTTAAATACAGTGTCAGAAATCTCAAGCGACATCGTTTTGCTCTCTCCCTCTCCCCCCCTCTCTCACACGCACACACGTGAACTGTTTTCAGCTAGAACGCGCTAGTTTTAGCATTTATGACGGAAAAACGTTTACAGCGATTTCGGAAAAACTTTCGGATGACTGGCAACAATGATTGTAAGCGGCACGATGGGTGGAGTTTAGAGGGCGCAAGCTACCGCCCGTTAGGTACAGCCGTTATCATCCATCCATCCATCGACCCGATGGCTGGAGCGTCGTTACTCTGGAGCGTGATAATGCGTCGTCGACTGGCCCGTTAAGCGCACCTATCCCGCCCGCCCATCAAAATTTCGTCCCGAAGTGAGAAAAAAATTATACGTCTGAGAACCAACTCGGCGCGTCGCGTTGTCGGATCATCGCGATCCTGACGGTTGGTGCTAGAAGTCTCGGCCAAGAGTACGAGCGAACGCGATGGTCGCTGTCGTCGGTATACATCCCGTAGACTTTGAGACTGGAGGGCGACCTACAGCAGACCAGGCGTCTGTCGCATCCACCTCCGCTGCCGTGCCGCCACCAGGGTCGCGCCCGACGACGGCGTGACACTTTTACGACGTCATCAGCCGGCGGATACCGAGGAACCACCTTTACGACGCTGTAGACACACAAGTCGTAGACGCGTGCCGGGCACCATAGCTCTAGGGTCGAGCATAAGGAATTCATGACCGACACTTTGAATCCAGATGCGAAAGAATCAAAATAACGAAAGAAAGAGCCGGGAGACAGAATAAACGGTCGAGTGCACGCAAAAAAAAAAAAAATGAAAGGCGCGTTGACTGGGCTTGGCCGCTCCCGGCTTCGTGTCACGCACACGGAAGCTTGGCCACGGGTCGCTGCGGTATCGGATTGTCCCAAGTTCTGCTCGATGAGCCGATTTAGCTGTCGGGACCCGATACATACCTTCCGGCTAGCCTGCCCAATGATGTCTGTTGTAGCCGGCTGGACAGGTACATGTAAATATGCAGACAGTTTTTGCATGACCGATGTGACCGTTATACGAGGATGCGTCAGGGAGTGTCTGCAGACCGTTTTTTTTTTGTGCGTGTGTGATGTATAAGCTGCCGGCTCTCCATCCCCTAATTCTGTTGTGAGCGCCGCCATCTTGAGGGTTGGTGCGGCTTCCTGCGCTTTGTGTAGACCAACTCAACTCTCTGACGTCATGCCGGTGCGGTGGCTCTGATGTGGGCAATGGGCATGCGTAGATCAATCTTGTACGCGTTACTGGAAAAAAAAAAAAAGAGTAACTGGCTGAAATTACAATTACTTTATTGAAAAATGTAACTTATTAAAGTAATCAATTACTGCACCGGAAAAGTAATTATAAAATTACCAGAAACTAACTGATTAGTTTTTACTTTGCTTTCTGTTTTTTTGTTTTTTTTTTAACCTTTTATTGCGAAATCAAAATGCATACATATGTTCGAAGTGGTTACATTTTGTTTCCTTTTGTCACTCCCACCTTGTTAAGCTGCAACAGCAGTTGTCGTTCGAAGTTCTCCTAAGTCATCTTCCCACGTTTCCTGGTGAAGGTATATGCCTCGACGCTAAAGCCCCTCGCGACAGATGCGCTCGAGGGAAGAGCGGTGTTGTTGCGCACATACACTTTGCATAGCAGTTCGTGGTTGCGCAGTGCTTCGACGGACGCTTCTGAATTCTGTAGAAAGCGAAGCGCTTCAATGTTGGGACCGCCTGTTGAAAGTTTTTCAGGTGGGAAAAGCGAAAAGCTGGAAAACTCGTCCGTGGACCGATTTTTTGGAGCGTCCGCAGAGACGGACGACGTTGCGCAACCATAGCAGCGACGACTGAGCTCGTCTGCCAGAAGACGACGAAGCTCGTGCAGGCGACGTCCTTCAGTTGTCACCGATTTCGTCTTCAATCGAGGAATCGCACGGGCAGACAAACCGATTTTTTTTTACGTAAACAAAAACTCATTTTAGCTCTTTCGGAAACATATAATTGATTACTTGTAATTGATTACAGCAAGATAGTTATGCAGCTGAATCCTTAAAAAGTTACAATATAATGTAATTGATTAGAAGTAATCAGTTGCTTGTAACTCGTCACGTACAAGTTTAGCGCAGATGCTTCGCCTTCGGCGAATCTGGGTTCTGCGCAGGCGCAGTGCCCACACTCGGTGTGGGCGAATGAGGGGTCGTTTATAAACAGTGTCTCGGTCGAAAAGGTGTTAGAAAACTCAGGCGACGTCGCCTTGCTCTGTCGCGGACCGTTTTTGACATTTCTGGAAGACGAAAAAAAAAAAAATCGTTTTGTGCTATCTCACAATAAACTTCCCATAACTCGCACCAACAATTTTAAGCGCTAGGATGGCTGGCGTGCCGGTTTACCTTGAAGCCTGGCCAATTTTGTGACTATGTGGCACCACCGGCGACCATTACGTGCAAGTCTATGAAAGGAGCACAGTGAAATGAGAAATTGTGCTTGAATGCGAATATTTTATGGCGTTTTTCGACGAGCATATTGCCGCGTGCATGACCGAGAAAGAACATTTCTCCGTGCTTCTAGAAGATTCGTGTTTACTCATGCCCCGAACGTAATAGATAAAGAGGCCAACACGGCCTCCCGGAGTCTGTCTCCCGAGTACTGCTCGACACTCGAACATTCTACACTCGTTTTCACCGTAAGTACCGTAGTAAAAAAAGTCCAGCTCTTCCCGGAGCATTACTAAGTTCCCCTTTATGTGGAGAATTAGATACGCGATAGATGATTTTTAGATCATATATTTGTTACCTTATCGAGACTTACACGTTTCAAAACGCCAAAAAGCATCGCTTCTTGCTTCGACAACCAAATATTGTAAGAACTACTTCGTCCGGCTTATCAGAAATGCGCAAAACTTCATTGTTTCCTGCTGTCTCGACTGGTGCTACAAAAGCCCCCTGCGATAGCTGGCACCAGCCACTCCTCCCAATCCAAAGGAGAAAAAAAATGAAGTTGCAGCGCGTCCAGCCGTTTGAACTACGTAAAACCTGTCGGCGCCAAGGCCACTGGATTTTTGCGGAATCAGATGTATTTCCCGAAACTTTGTTTTTCACAAACTTGGCAAACAGAGGAGGTTACGGTCCCAATGAGCCAACCAGTGCCTCGGAACATGACACGGGACTATACCTCATCTTTGGTTGGTTGCGCGCAGTGCTGTCGAAGCCGCTTTTGAACAAATGTCGAGTGACAGTCTATTCTTTAAGGGGGACAAAAGAGGCGTCTGGGAAACAGAAGAGAGGGTCCTGGTAAGAGAAGACTTCCTCTTCTTCCTCTTCTCCAGCAGTTGTGGGATGGGCATTCGCCCCCGTACCTTTGGGAAGGGCAGACACGTGCTTCGCCTCCGTCGCTCTGATTGGCTCGAGGGAGCCGTAGTGTTCGCGCTTTCCCAAGAACGGATTTGGTGCGTCTATTCGGGAAGACTTTTTCAACATCTTTCTCGTGTAATGTTCCTTTTGGGATCCATATTGTCTTTGCCCTTTTGGAAAAAAAAAAAAAAAAAACATTTGTACGTTTCTTTTGACGCTCTGAGAATGGCTATCATCTCGCACTGAAACGCCTTATGACGGCAGTTGTGTCTAGCCGTGCACATTTCGAAACTGGGTGCACTTTCCTGCTAAACTACGGAAGAAGTGCAATTTTGTAAAAATAGGATGCTGCAATAAAAAAAAGGTTTCTTCCGTATTACACCGTCCTATATATGTCTAAGGCGTAGCATTGTTCGTTGCATGTAAAGCATGTAGAACATAAAAAAAACGCTGTAATTTATTTTCTATTACAAACAATGTAAAAAAAAAAAAAAAAAACATTACGCCGGGAACTAGCATTTTTACTGCCTGAGAGACGGCGCTTGACAGGGCACTTTGACAGAGCATCCCGCTAGAAACTAAAGTGTAAAACATTTTGCTTTGAAGAAAACAAAGTGTAAAAATTGAGTCGCTTTGAAAAACGACAGGCGCGAATAGCTTACGCAAGGGACGCGCCCCGAGGCACTTACTTGTCAAGGTAAATGTCCAGAAAGTTGTCTTTTTTTTTTTCACTAAATGAACATTGCGACACTAAATGGAATTGTAGTACTGCTCAGAGCTACAAGCTCTCGCCGACATCGGTCAGCGAGGGTCTTCTTTCTAAAAGTGAGAAGAGAGATTTAGCAAACAAAAGGAAAACCACATCATCGCGAACAATTGAACGCGTGCTTTTGAAGGCAGGCTGCTTTTCTTACTGCGATACTCTGATTTTCAATCTAACAGCAATACGCGTGTATTTAAGATCACGCGCTTCTCATAAATACCCGTAGAAAGAAAAGAAAGAAAACAGGGCTCCTTCACTTTTTTCTAATCCTGTAATTATTGTTTTTTTTTTTTCCCCGACTGTTTTTTCGACAGGCTCGCTGGTGCTTTCTCCGTGTTCATCTTTGGTGGCCGATATATTTTTGACGCAATTCAATACAGCGACATGCTTCCTACTGTGTGATCAAACAGTCAATGTCCTTTGTTCTTTTCTCTCCCCTCCTCTTCCTCCCCTGTCCCCACATCAGTTTTCCACCACGCCAACTTCTTGTCTTCGATCGTGCCGGAGTCCTGGTGAGTACAGACATCTTGTTTTCAATTCTTTCTCAGTTTTTTTTTTTTTTTACTTTTGTGTCATTTTTTTTACTTCATCGTTCTTTCTTGTTGATGGCAATAAATCTAATTATAGCAAGTGTACAGTTAATGCAGGTTTATCCTCGGTATAGTTTATATAAAAACGCTGGTCCTCGGAACCCAGCAGAGGCCTTCGGCCTAGTGTTGCCGTTAACTCAAGCCTAGCGCGTGCATTTTCTGTTGGCGCAACGGGGAACGCGACAGAACGGCACGCAACAAAACAGCGCGCGACAAAACGGCATGGTCAAAACATCACGCGTCAAAACAGTACAGTGTCAAAAACAGCTAGCGTCAAAACAGCACGCGACAAAACAACAGAGCGACAGAAGAGCACGTGCCAAAATACCATGCGACAAAACTGCAAACAAACAAAACAGCACGCACGTTTGTCGACGTTTAGCGCACTCGAAAAACTGTCACTCAAGCATTCACACACCCAAAAAACACTCCTCTCACGCAGCGCTCACTAACAACTTTGTATTGCGTACTTTACTTCGGCTTCTACTTCTTCAGAATTTAGGCGATTTGCAAATAGAAAGAGACGACATATATATGAGTAAAAAATTCCTGTCTCTACGCTTAGGCTAATTTGCGGCTAAATAGTTTATCTCTTTTCGTGATAATGTTATCGACGCCGTACTAACACATTTGTCTTCTAGTATGACTGGAGGACAAATGCATGTTGTTGTTGTTTTTTGTTTTGTTTTTTTTGCTGGAGAACGCATTATTAGTAGCACGCGCCTAAATTAAGTACGCGCTGCTAACGTGCTCAGCGGAACATTTGTGTATTGCCGTTACATTTTATTATCAACCGTTATATGGCTTTATTATATTATTACCTGTGTCGTTATATTTTATTACCTACTTATAGCGTCTCGTGCATGTTGAGGAAGATAAAACCCACCGCTCACCGCAAGACAATGACGCTAAATGTCTTGCCGCATTTTTAATGGATGATTTATTGTTAATCCGTTAACATTTTATATCGATACAAATGCGGCACCCTATTTACCCTAAGGAAAAATAAAGATCACAATTGACGAGTTTAGTGGAACTTATGAAGAAATAGCCTATTTGACATACACTATTGTTTTACACATAGCTTAGACACGGTAAAAAAGTGACAGCCCACAAGAGCGTCAATGAGGAGCTGTGTGGCATTCTGGGACAGGACGTTGAGTAGTCTTTGCGAGATTCTCGCCTATGCCTTTGAACCCGATAGGGTGCGTCCTCTTTGGCCGTCAATCATCTTCTCCTTTTGGTACATAGGGTACCGTATTTGTATGGATATAAAACGCGAACGGATTAACAATCAATCAGTAATTAAAACGACTGCAAACAATTTAGCTTCATTGGCTTGCGGTGGGAAGGTTTCATATAGCTGAACATACACGAAAAGCTATAAGTAGGTAGTAAAATATAGCTGTGCAGGGCAATAATATAAAAACATAAAAGGGTTGATAATAAAATGTAACGGCAAAGCACATGTTCTGCTGAAGTACCTCATAATTAGGTGCGTGCTCCTAATAATGTCATAAAGCGAAAAAAAACAGTATGTATTTACGTGCGTGTTTCTTGTGTGTGTTTTTTTTTTTTGTTTTTCTTTTTGGTTTTTTTTTTGCTGTTTACGTTTTGGCACGTGCTTTTCTGTCGCTCTGCTGTTTTGTCTCGTGCTGTTCTGTGGTGGTGCCCCGTCGCTGCGACATGGGCGTCACGAGTTCGTAAGGGTCCGTTCCCCGACTGGATTCGAGTGATTTCGCTTGTCGTCATCGGAAAATTGCGCTTTTGCTGTCCCAAGTTGGATTCTCTGAAATTGACAATGACTGCGAGGGAGCGAAACGACTGGCTAAGATTCGGCATGTAGAAATTGCGTGACAGCGACCCTGCAGCGTAACGTTTTATTAGCTTTCGAAAGGGAACACCTGGTTGGGATTCCCTTCATAGGTGTGAACGACGTATCTTGAAATTTTTTTAGTGTGTGCATTACTAAAACATATCGTGATAGATCCGTGCCAATTAAGCGTAGGCCAAAATCAACGCCAAAATGTTTATACAACACATGGAAAGGTGTAACGTTTGTCAGCAGGACATTACCGTCGCTGTGTGTCCTTGCAATCCCGAAGAAGGCTTGAAAATTCATTTATGCCGCACCCCCTCGTTTTCCCGGTCAACATCCAAACACAACGTCGGGGCGGCGGAGAAGTGTATGCTGCATCGTTTTTACCGACGTTGGTCCCTGCGCTCAGTTCAGTTCACGTGTCATTACATAAATGGCGCGATAGTAGACGCGGACCTGTAAACGAATATCATTCTCCATTGAAAACTGCATTCGCACCGGCCGCAAGCGAACCGTGGTGTATTTTGGCTGCAAAGCGGGAAGCCTGGTTCGGTGGCGGTGGCGTCCTTTGGAATTCGCTACTAGAGGGGCGGAAGACAGACACCATACTTTTGGTTTTTATTTTCTAAACTAGGTGGGGCAAGGCACCGCCCGTTATAAAGTGTACAGCGGTTAGCATTCGTTCATACATTCATTCGGTAGTATTTCTCATTCATCGTAGTCTGCGCGGTTTTTACTACGGGGAGGGCATGACGTCAGCCACGTAGCTTTCCCAAGCCATCCTTCCCTGCCGCTCGCCTCTTTCTCATTTTCCTCGCCAATTTCCCTTTCAAATATGAACCACGCGAGTCCACTGAATTGTATATGGTCGCGTCTACGAACTGAGCGGCACAAGGTTCTAACGTGGTTCTCTTCATGATTGCGGCCGCTGAATGCGCCCGCTGCCTTTCAATTGGTCCTGTAACCATGAAGTGAAGAAGTTATTTTTTTACGCTCCGTTACCATCATGCGAATGGAGACTAGCGTTCTAATGATGTGCGTAACTTCATTTAGCTTGCGAAATCTGTTCGCGTTTAAAACGCAATTCAATTCGCCGCCTACATTCACCTTTGTCAATGTTTCGATGTACGCCCTTCATTCTGCCGGATCGTTCGGAGCGTGGACTGACACAACCCGCAGCACATCGCCGTGGCACAGCAAATCCACTGCGCATACTCTGCCGCTGTGATCAGTTTCCCATTCTGGAAACGCAGAAATTTCCTTATTCTTATGAACTAGAACTCCTGTGCCAGCGCTATGTGAAATAGCGTTAGAGTACCGGAAGTCAAAAAGGCGCTCAAAGAACTTAGCCGCATGCTCTACAAGTCCGAGCCTGAGTTTCGTTTCCTGCAGAAGTTCAACATCCGCTCTTTCGTTGAGGGGGGTATAATCAAGCTGGAGCAGTTTAGCGTTACAACTTTAAGCTTATACATCGATGAGGAAACATGCGAGAGTTAAAAGGACTGAGGTGATCACGAGTACAACCTACCGTGAGTTGGGCTAACGTTGTCCTCGGGCTTTGATGGTACGATTTTTTCTGCAGCTTTTACCAGTTAGGCGCGTCTGGGTAGTCCTCGTCCTCAGTGTATTCACTCTCTGCCAAATCCAGGGGTCGCTTTTCAGTGGAGCTTTATGTAACGTCCATGGTAGTTTCGTCGTTAAATATATAAAATAGCGCAAAAAAGGCAGGGACATGAAGTATACTGGACAAGCGCTTGTCCTGTATACTCTTTGTCCTTATATTTTTTTGCGCTATTTTATATGTTTAACTAAGATGAACCACGGCCGGACTAGAAGCGACGCTCTCTTTCTCTTCTTACGGCCTTTGCAATCGGCCACGGCCACGGCTTGCGATACGAGGCATCGAGATCGCTTCGTCTCGTGTTCTAAAGGGGTGGTCTATTCTCTCCCTCTGACGTGTGGCAAGCGTTACGTTGGCCAGACGGGCCTCTGTCTCAATGACAGGTTAAGAGAGCACGCTTACAGTGTCTCCACAACCGTGTCTCGTCACAACAACCTCACAACGATGTGAGGTTGTTAAGCGTCATAGGGACCAGCTTACTCGGGAAATTCTAGAGGCTGTTGAGATAGCGAGGTTGGGCGCAGCATGTGTAAGCAGTCCTTCTGTGGCCCTATCAGACAAAGAGATGAATTTTCTGACTTGCTCGCTTTTTAGCACGTACTCTGTACGGCTGTGTCATGGCGCATTTTATATATATATATATATATATATATATATATATATATATATATATATATATATATATTATCATTGTTTTATTTTTATTGGTGATGCATCACGTGGGCTGAATTCTTTCTTCTCTTTTGTTCGTGACACCGCAAATATATGTCGCGGTTTTGTGTTCAATAAACTCAGTTGTAAGTCAGCGCTACGTCCGTGTCACTTCTTTGTGCGGTCCTCGTCTTTTCGCGCTGTTTTTAATTCCGAAGTTTGCTTTCTTTCCTCGCCCCTGTCCAAGCTTCTTCCGTTGAAGGCACGGAGAGGGGCAGATACATGTCGCCTGATTCCTTGTCTCTTGAGGATGGACGCTGGACGGGGGCACCGTCCGTAGTGTTCGTTTCTCCCACAGTCGCCTCGGCCTCAACCTCGTCCATTAAAAGTTCATAGCTGCGCCCCTGGGGCTTCACGTTAATGACTGTTGCGTAGGGTCGCACCCAGTCCTTTTTTAAGTGACCAAATCGTCGACACGAATCACAGCGCGGCGCCCGACAGTCTCGACGAACATGCCCACACCTCCGGCGGCGCAAGCACATAGGTGCCCTACCTGGAACGATGACAAGCGTGTTGGCGTTGAGAACCCGCAGCTGGTGGGGTAGTCGTTGGCTAGTCGTTCCGTCGTCACGCCGTCCATGAGTTTGAGGCGCACTCTCCTTGTTGTTGGCTCAACGCCTCTGAAGCCATCTTCGCGCCAGGTCTCCCTTTCCACACTTTCCACTTTTCCGAAAGGCTCGAGTGCCTTGCGAACGAGGTAGTCTGGAACTTCTATGGGCAACCAATAAAGCTTCAGTAGCACGTCGGCCCTGTTTAAATCCAGAACAAGGC